TGGGAGGACAGGGGAGAGAGAGCAGTAGGAGAAATACCTAATGTAGATGATGGGGCAACGGATGCAGCAAACCACCACCATGGCACATGTATACCTATGTAACAAACCTGTACGATCTGCATATGCACCCCAGAACTTAAAAAGTTTAATAAATAAATTGTTTTAAAAAAAGAATTACGTTTAAAAGTTGAATCATGGTTCCCCCAAAAAATAAAAGGTTGAATCACATACCCCCAAAAATAAATGGTTGAATCATGGCCCCCCAAAGAACACATTAGAGTCCTAATCTCTAGCACCGGTGACCGTGACCATAATTGGAAATAGAGTCTTTGCAGATTATCAAGTTAAGATGAAATCACTGAGGTGGGCACTAATCCAATATAAATGATGTCCTTATGAATAAAAGGGGGAATCTGTGGCTGGGCATGGTGGCTCATGCCTGCAGTCAGTTCCTTGGGAGGCTGAGAAAGGAAGATTGCTTCAGTCCAGGGGTTCGAGGCCAGCCTGGCAACCCAGTGAGACCCCGTCTCTGAAACACTGAACCAATGGACACAGAGAGACAGCCATAGAGATGATGTGTGAAGACCGGATGGGCCACCCACCTGCAAATGCAGGGAGAGAACAGCTGAGGAGGGGCCTGGAGCGGGACACCCCTCAGCCTCAGAGCAACCAGCGCTGTGACACCTGTGTGTCACATGGCCAGCCTCCAGGACTAGATGTTACATTTTGGTTGTTCAAGCCCCCGGTTTGTCACATGGATCAAACTCAGAAACCAAAGGCTGCCTTCAAGGTCTGTGCTCTGGCTTTTAGGGAAAGAGCCTACACGACCGAAGGCCAGTGCTTCAGGGCTGCCACCCCTATCTCTTGCTTCTTCAGTTCCATCTCCAAGGCAGCCACGGTCGTCTGGCCAAGGATAGTATCAAGGCACTAGAAAACCATTTTATTCCAGATATACACTAAGTCAGTCCAGCCCGGGGAGCTTTTTGATACTACTTTAGCGTGGTGCTGGCAGTGCTCCCGGTACTGGCCTGCTGTGCTCCTCCTCGCTCAGCAGCTCCTCACACTCCTCGCTGAGCTCCTCTGTGTCCCCATGGCTGGCCCCATCCTCACTGGATATGAGCTCCAGCTCCTCGCTGAGGGGCTTGCCCAGGCCCCGCCTATATCCCATGCTAGACTCGTCCTCACTAGAGACTGCCAGGCCTTGCTGAATAGCACAGCCAAGGCCTCACCGCTCTCCTCACTGGGACTGTCCTCTGCAGCCTCCTCCATCTGGGGCAGCTCTACTAACTCTTCACTAGGCTCCACGTCCTCACTGGCCACTTCCTCAAACCCTGGGAGAGAGTAAAAAGACTGCCTCATTACCATCATTTAATCACAGGTTGGAAGAACAAGTTACTATCCTAATGAACTCATCCTTGCTCTGAAATGTCTGCTTCCCTTAGTCCTGCAGGATTCCTCCACTATTGCCACAGAGCATCAACTGTAGCAGAGTGATGCTTTACAAAGGAAAACTCGCTGCACTGCTCAAATGAAAGGCCTCTCTGGAAACCTTAAAGGTTGGCTTTGGCTTTCCAAGGTAAGAATATAAACAAAAATATGACGTTAAACCCATAGGCTTTTCCCGGATAGTAACGCCTGCTATGACTAATGGGGTCAAAACACACTATTATCAGGTAACTTTTCTTTTCTATCTTAGGACATCATTTAACTGAGCAATGGGGTCCTGTAATAAATACCCTAAATTGGGAGGAATATGTTCACAAAATAAATAAATAAATAAAATAAATTACCCTAATTAAAATTGGCCTACCACCTATTAAATTTTCCGACTAACATTTTAATAAGAGCTCATTTTCATGTTCTCCATATTCTGGATAAATTTAAACAGTCACCTAGCCTCAACACTTTTGACTCTACCCCTCCAATTCAGAGGCAGCATTCCTTCTGGGTTGGTGTTAGAATCCACTTCCACACCTCTCCTGGGAGGGTTTCTGGGATCCTTGGCCACAGTGTGACTGTGCGCACTGCCTGGTGCTCACGGGCAGACCCAATACCATGTGTTCAACACCCAAGCCCCCTCCCACTTCCACACCGATCACTAGAGAGGGCTGAAGTAAGGCAGGGGTTCTGGCTGGGGGCGGTGGCTCAAGCCTGTAATCCCAGCACTTTGAGAGGCCGAGGCGGGTGGATCACAAGGTCAACAGATCGAGACCATCCTGGTCAACATGGTGAAACCTCGTCTCTACTAAATATACAAAAAAATTAGCTGGGCAAGGTGGCGCATGCCTGTAATCCCAGCTACTCAGGAGGCTGAGGCAGGAGAATTGCTTGAACCCAGGAGGCGGAGGTTGCGGTGAGCCGAGATCGCGCCATTGCACCCGAGCCTAGGTAACAAGAGCGAAACTCCATCTCAAAAAAACAAAAAAAAAAGGGCAGGGGTTCTGCAATCTGATAAATGGAAAGTGCAGCTCGGAAATTACTGTACAGCAGATTTTGAACTACTTTTGTGTCGTCTGAAAAATCTGCTACACAAAGTGGATACAACTAGGTCTAGCAAGTATGTTTCATCAACAGCAGTCCCCAATCTTTTTGGCCCAAGTGACTGGTTTCATAGAAGACAACATTTTTTCCACAGACAAGGGCCATGGGGTGAGGTGGCAGCGGTAGGATGGTTGACTTCTGGCACTGGTTTCTGATAGGGAACACACAACCCTAGATACCTTGCATCTGCGGTTCACAATAGGATTCGTGCCCTTATGAGAGACTCCAGTGCTGCCACTGGTCTGACAGGAGGCGTGGCTCAGGCAGTAAGGCTTACCCGCCTGCCTGCCGCTCACCTCCTGCTCCTCACAGGTCGCAGACCAGGCTGTTGACCCCAAACTATATCCTTATTAGGCAGCAATCCCTCTGGCTGGGCATCCACGCCCATCTACACTAAACATGCCACCAGCAGGCTGCAGAGTGACTTCATACATACAGTGGCCAGGGAATAGCAGCTTCTCCTGTGTGTGAATCCTGACAGCCTGAAAACGGAAGTCATCTAGAACACCTACAAGAATGGATTAAGCAAGTATCTCTGCCACACCCATCATGGGAAACGTGGAGCAACTAGTCTTGAAACAGGTCTGTGTGCATTATTTAATAGTGCAGCGTTTCATTAAGACTAGCACCTCTCTCCCTGGACCAAGGGTAAAAACTCACATATTTGCTCACATCTAACTAAATCTCTATACTTACTTTACAAAGAATTGCTGTATCGTTTGGCTACAATTCAGTCACTGAGAGACCCTTCCCCCTTGAAGTAAAACACAGTAACATTAAGAAAAGGCCTGTTGCAGGCGCCTGGTCTCAGCCGTCCGGAGGACAGCCTGTTTCAAGGCGTGTGCCCTAGAACAGAAACCATGGCGTCGGAAGAGCAGGCCTTCTTCCCTGCTTGGTCACCGTGAGAACCATGATCAGAACACAGGACTTCAACAGCGCCCTGTCCTCCAGAGCAACAAATGCAGGCTGCTGAAGGCTGTAACAAGATGCAAAGATCATTTTTAAGACAGAGATCGATCTGTAAGTTCCTTTTCTTAGAGATTTCTCGCCTGTGAGGGTAGATGAAGTAAGTAAACATGGCTCTTTCTCATGCTGTCTCTGCTGATGGCAGCAGTGATTACAGCAAATGTGCTTCAACAATGAGCAGACCAATCTCCCAGGCCCCTAATCTGAAACCCCCTGCTTAGCTTCAGTTGCTCCATTTTCCCTGAAAATCCTTGAGGGCACTGACTGTCTTTCCTCCCTCAGAAAGGGTCTTCTCACTTCAAGCCGCCAGCCCATACGTAATAAGGCATAAGGACAACCTCTTTGAATCCCCATTTGTGAAAACTGAAGAACTGCACCATGTAAAAGGCCCAAGACCTACCAGATATGGGAGTGATTATTCCTCTGCTTCCCTGCAGCAGGCGGGGCCCCACATATCTCCCGTACATCATCTGTAGACACAGAGGCTTTCTCTTTGGGGGTTGCAGGTGGTGTTCAGTTTCTTCACCCATGCTTCAGGCAATGCATGAGATAAACACACAATGTGTTTCCCTCTCAGTGAATCAAAAGACAAAAATGGCTACAGAAGTGTACCACACAGAAAGTCCCATCCCGGTGGTTGAGAAGGTTCTAACAGCAGACAGCTAACCAAAGTGCCTGGCCCAAACTGTGCCCAAGACACCCACAAAAGCACAGGACCAGGCATCAGGACTAAGATGCCAGCGATGAGAAATCTATTTCCCTACAATCAAACAGCAGCTGAGCAGCACTGTCTCCCCTAACATAACTACTCTCCTCGGCAAAGGCTTCCGCAGTCTTGCTCCGTAAGTGCCTTTTTTTTCTGCAAACTGTGAACTCGACGCTCCTCACACACCACAGCATTTACAGATGAAAGGTCTTGCAGACAGTACTATGCTGCTTAATGATTTTAACAGGAATATGAGGTGGCAAATTCACACACAAATTGGCATTCAATGGGAAACAACATTTCCAAGACACCAGCACCGACGCCCTTACCACTGTCTCATCTGAGGGCAAAAGCAAGTTAAGTAGGGCCATATATAACAAAGAAAAAAATACATTTAACTCGGTATTATTCTAATTTTTCAAGTTGTAAATTCAAAACAAATTTTCACAGAGGAAGAAGAGTAAGATTTTAAAGCTCCTGTGCTGCTTTACTTTCTTCAGAAAGGGTCTTGCTCTGCCACCCAGGCTGCAGTACAGTGGCCCAATCTCGACCTCCCAGGCTCACGAGATCCACCTCAGCCTCCCAAGGAGCTGGGACCACAGGCACACGCCACCACGGTCAGCTAATGTTTTGTGTTCTTTTGCAGAGACGAGGTTTCACCATGTTGCCCAGGCTAGTCCAATGCTGCTTTAAATACAGATACCATGTTAATTCAACAGGAAGGCCATTACTGAACCCTCACATGGGTCATGGACACACACCACGTCAACCCACGCAATTAACTTACCAAAGAAGTCAAATGAAAATGGGTCCCTTCCACCAAAACATTCCCTGAAGACGTCTTCTGGGTTTCGGAATGTAAAGCCAAATTCAAATGGACTGTCAAAATGAAGTCCACCTGCACAAATACAATACAGCTTTTAGTTTAGGCATTTTGGTGTTTTGCAGGCAAAAAATTCTTTGTTGGCAGATCATACAAATCACCACCTAATAGAAAACAAAAAAAACCTGGGGTTCTCTAAATTTCAAAACATGAGCCCTGTACTGACAAAGTGAGTGTGCCCAGAGCTGAGGACAAGTGAGTGCAGCGGTGGCCCCTTCGACACTACTCTTCGCCAACTCTAAATCCGTGACGGGCGTATAACTTACACACCATTTCTGTGATTTGTTATGAAGGTTTATGAAGACCACGAGTATCTGCATCCACTTTGACAACTGACGTCCTAGAGCCACAGAAGCTGCCATGTGGCCAGGTTTGGAGCAGTAATTTCCAAAGACCCCTGGAGAGGCTGGTCACAGCCCAGAGACCATGCAGACTTTCAGAGAAACACACAAAGTCCAGGCCCCACGAGGTCATTATTTCAGCTCTTCAGGAAAGTCTGCTCTTTAAACCCTCAGGATATTTTGCCATCATGTCAAGTACTGAGCTAAGGGTGTCTGTCCACAGTATATTGCAGGGTGCTAACAAATGATTTGCTATCTACAGGAAGCACATCAGCATATACTTCTAGTCTCACAAACATTCTAAAATGCTATCAATTTCTCTGTCCTCTTCCCACTTCAGCCCACTTTCTAGGTTGCATCTCTATTTACTGATATAAAACACTCTTACCAAAAGACTCATGATTTACAGACAAACTCAACTAACTTGCCAAGACCTTTTGTCTTCAAAGAAAAAAGTCATGTACATACCTCCTCCTCCTCCTCCACCATTTAATCCTTCTTTGCCGTATTTGTCATAGATGTCCCGTTTCTTAGCTAAAAATTGAAAGAAAAGTCAATAAGACCAAGTTCCTTTTAAACCTCTGATTCAATAAATTCCCAAGTTGTAAATCAGTTTTCAAGGTTTTACAATTAAATTTAAGGAGTATGAGCCCCGTTTTCTTTAAAATAAAAGAAAACAAGGGAAACTTCTCTGTACCTCTCTCCTGAAAAACAATTCCAAAAAAAATTTAAGTTTGTTGAATTTTTCTTTACAAGTTATTTAAATATTTACAGCCAGGCACAGTGGCTCACGCCTGTAATCGCAGCAATATGGGAGACCAAGGCGGGCAGATCACTTAAGACCAGGAGTTCAAAACCAGCCTGGCCAACATGGTGAAACCCCATCTCTTCTAAAAAAAAAAATCAGCCAGGCATGGTGGCATTGTGTCCATAATCCCAGCTACTTAGGAGACTGAGGCAGAATTGCTTGAACCCAGGAGACAGAAGTTGCAATGAGCCCTGATCACCCCACTGTACTCCAGCCTGGGTGACAGAGCAAAATTCTGTCTCAAAAAAAAAAAATCTTATTCCATTACACAACTTTTCACTCTACTGCCCACAGAACCAGGCATGCTACATGAAAATCACACAGCCAAGTACATTATTTCAACCACATGAGTGCCCCATCTTACTACAAACCCAACTAGAGGACCACACCTGCGGCACACGAAGAAACGGGCCAGGGCCTAGGCAAGCGGCAAAGAGGAGCCATCCAACACCCTACAGGCTCACTGACCCTACAAGGGACCACCCCGATGCAAGGCCTGGGGCTAGCGTGCCACTCTCCACTGACAGTCTTCACACTTACATTCCAAACTCTACTGAAACTCCACAACAAAAATAATGACATTAGAAGCACTGGTACTCTGACATGACACCATGTGAGTTCCTCAAAAATCTCATAGGCTGGACACAGCAGCTAACACCTGTAATCCCAACACACGGAGTGGCCAAGGCAGGTGGACTGCTTAAGCCCAGGAGTTCAAGACCAGCCCGGGCAGCAAAATCCCATCTCTAATCAAAATATGAAAAAATTAGCCAGCCACAGTGACACCCACCCGTGGGTCCCAGCTACTCAGGAAGCCATGGGACAACTGCTTGAGCCTGGGAGGTCAACACTGCAATGAGCTGTGATCATGCCACTGCATTCCACTCTGGGCAACCGAGACCCCTTCTCAATTTTTAAAAAGTAAAAGAAAATCTCATATTCCACAAAATGAGAATACATGCTTAGAAGCAAACCACTTACAAGCAGGTTCAGGTAGCCAGTGCCATGGCAAGAAAAATGACTATGCTTTGAAGGTAACTCCAGCTGGGACCCATGGCTGCCTAAAAGGACATGAAAAATACACCCCGGCCGGGCCCGGTGGCTCACACCTATAATCCCAGCACTTTGGGAGGCCGAGGTGGGTACATCACGAGGTCAACAGATAAAGACCATCCTGGTCAACATGGTGAAACCCTGTCTCTACTAAAAATACAAAAATTAGCTGGGTATGGTGGCGCGCGCCTGTAGTCCCAGCTACTCGGGAGGCTGAGGCAGAATTGCTTGAACCCAGGAGGCGGAGGTTGCAGTGAGCCAAGATTGCACCATTGCACTCCAGCCTGGGCAACAAGGGCGAAACTCCGTCTCAAAAAAAAAAAAAAGAAAGAAAAATACACCCCATGCCCCATCCCCTCCAAAAAAAAAAAAACCCAAGAGACTTTCTAGTATGGCAGTTTAAAGATGCTCTATCAAATATGAAACTTCAGTTTAGTCCTCCCTTTTCTTAATGTTACTGGTCCCTGAAATCCTGCATCTGGCAGTACTGAATTAGCACACACAAACACCAAGGACCAAAGAACAACATGGCAACCCTGAGGCCTGTGCTCTCCTCTGTCAATCCAGCACACAAGCCTGGTGCAATGGTGTTTTGTGCCTGCAGGCCCAGCTGCTCAGGAGTTTGAGGAGGGAGGACAATCACCTCAGCCCAGGAATTCAAGGCCTCCTTGGGCACCAGAGCTAGACCCTCTCTCTTTAAAAATAAAATAAATAAAACTTTCCAGTCAACAGTTTAAGCTCAACAGCTCATGACCTTAAATGCCGTATTTCATGAAGATTCCAAATATCAGTGTTTTATGCCTTTTCACATTTTTGAAGTAAAATATCTAAGATTTCCTCTGAAACAAAGGGGTGGGCGATAGTGTCACCAGAGAAAGCCAGGCTGGTAACTATTGAAGGTGGCAAACTTACATTGGGTTCCTTCTTTTAAAAAAAGAAATAATTTGTTGTAAATAAGGGCCAATCTCCTGACCATATTCAGATACACTTACCCAAGTGCCTACACTTCCAGGGTCCAGTTAGTCCATCCCTAACTTTGTAAATGCCTCTGCAGCTGACCCTGCTTCCCCGCCCCACCCCAGGCCCCATGCAACCCCGACTAGGTGACAGGTGACCTCTGACCCCTCACCCACGTGTGAACCAGGCCAATGGATCGCACTTCCAGTAACATACACCTCTGCTCCAGACCTAGGTGACAAAGACAGGCCTGAAATCTGAAATCTAAATTTTAACTGTACGTTCCATCCCCTCTTTTTGTGAACCTAAGACGTCCTCTCAAGTAGTAAAGCTGACTCCACTGGCACAGTATTGTTTAAGCCCGTGGGGTGAGCAAGGTCAAAAGGATCACACACAACAACGGGGCAAGCACACCACATGCACAGTGGCCTGAGTCCTGCAACCTCCTCTCTCCTAGGTTCATCAGACCCGCGGTAGCTAGTCCTGTTTGAAAACAGTCATCCTAGGCCGGGCGCGGTAGCTCAAGCCTGTAATCCCAACACTTTGGGAGGCCGAGGCAGGTGGATCACGAGGTCAAGAGATCGAGACCATCCTGGTCAACATGGTGAAACCCCGCCTCTACTAAAAAATACAAAAAATTAGCTGGGCATGGTGGTGCGTGCCTGTAATCCCAGCTACTCAGGAGGCTGAGGCAGGAGAATTGCCTGAACCCAGGAGGCGGAGGTTGCAGTGAGCCAAGATTGCGCCATTTCACTCCAGTCTGGGTAACAAGAGTGAGACTCCGTCTCAAAAAAAAAGAAAAGAAAACAGCCATCCTAAAAGAAACTGCTAGAAGTCCTGGTGCTCCTCAGCCCTTGCAGTGATGAAAATCAAGTCAAACCTTCACAAGAAAAATAAAGACATTCAAAGGGCCCAAAATCCAGCTGGCATTAACAAGTCGCTTGGTCCATACTGTGCTAGCCCTGAGGAGGATCCCAACACCCGCTCCACATCCCGGCGGCTTTGCTCAGAGTCCTGAAGCAGCCAGTGTCACTCACCGTCTGACAGCACCTCATACGCCTCTGCTACTTGTTTGAATTTTCTCTCTGCTTCTTCTTTATTCTCAGGATTTTTATCTGGGTGCCACTTTAGTGCCAGTTTCCGGTATCTTGAAAAGAATAAAGGATACTTATCACATTCTAAATCCAGAAATCAACTATGTTTTTGAAACTAACATAATGAACCAGGAGAATGGCTTCAGAGCTGCCAACTCGTAAGACAAATACCGGTTTTAGTGGTAAAACCTCCCTTTCTTCTAGAATGAAATACACAGAAGTTCTAATATCCAGATGGCCAGGCGTGATGGCGTGCAGCCACAGACAGACCCAGCTACTCCAGAAACTCAGGCATGATGACTGCTTGAGGCTACAGTAAGCTATGATCACACCACTGCAGTCCAGCCTGGGCAACAAAACAAAACCCTGTCTCAAAATTAAAATTGTAAAAATACTCATTAAATACGTTTAAAAAATAAAATACTGATAGCATAATACAAACCTCTAGAGAGAAAAACAAACATCACGGTGTCCACGAGACGGCCTGACACTGAGGAGACTGAGCGAGTATGTGAAGGAAAGGGAGCAAAAGGCCTGGGTCACTGAGGAGCAGGATCCAACATCACCATCCCTATCCTTCTGTGTTCAGATTCCAAGGACCCTACTTTGTCAGCCAGCCCACTACTCAGCTGATCTGTGTGCCCAAGGTGAGTCACCTGCCACCAAGCAGGCCAGGACTGCAGCATCTTTCAAACAGCCCTCTGTGCTAGACTCAAGATCTAAACAGAGTTAAAACATGGACTTCTACAAAGTTTCTACGACTAAAGTCCTAGTCAGTTGCAGAGTTCCAACTGGCTAAATTGCATGTCATCTAAATACAAAAAAAAAAAGGCCAGGTGCAGTCCCTCGCGTCTGTAATCACAGCACTTTGGGAGGCTGAGGCAGGCAGATCACCTGAGGTCAGGAGTTGAGACCAACCTGGCTAACATGGCGAAACCCCATCTCTACCAAAAGCACAAAAAGCTGAGTGTGGAAGCACATACCTGTAGACCCAGCTACTTAGGAGGCTGAGGCAGGAGAATGGCTTGAATCCGGGAGGCCAAGATTGTGCCACTGGCAAACCATCAGAAAGGTATATAATTTCCATCAGTTACTGAAAGTACTGCGCGAGTATTAGTTTATCCACTGATAAGGTTTAGCTGTGTCCCCACCGAAATCTCAACTTGAGTCGTATCTCCCAGAACTCCCACATGTTGTGGGAGGGACCCAGGGGGAGCTGGTCTTTCCTGTGCTATTCTCGTGGAGTAAGTCTCCCAAGATCTAATGGGTTTATCAGGGGTTTCCGCTTTTGCTTCTTCCTCATCATCTCTTGCTGCCACCATATAAAAAGTGCCTTTCGCCCTCCGCCATGATTATAAGACCTTCCCAGCCACGTGGAACTGTAAATCAAATTAAACATCCTTTTCTTCCCAGTCTCAGGTATGTCTTTATCAGCAGCATAAAAACAGACTAATACATGCATTAACTTATTCAAGAGGAGAAAAGCATTTCCAGCTGTCTTCATTCTATGACCTGTCAAGTATCACTGGCTGTTGACACTATTGATAAGAACAGCGTGGGCCTATGGTATGCAACACAGGCTTCCTCACGCTGTGGAAAATGTCACTCCACTGCTGACAGCAGCAGGGCCTGCCTGACCTCTCCTCAGTGGGCTGCTTCTACTAGGTTCCTTGGCAGAGGTTTCAAAGACTCTGCAAGCAACATCAGCTCTGCCCAACAGCAGTCATCCTGACTGGGCTTTGAGAAAGAGTCTTGGCTCGGTCACCCAAGGCAGAGTGCAATGGCATGAACATGGCTCACTGCAGCCTCAACCTCCTGGGCTCAAGCAATTCTCCTGCCTCAGCCTCTGGAGTAGCTGGGACTACAAGCATATACCACCGTGCCCAACTATTTTATTTTATTTTTTTGTAAAGACAGTATCTTATTTTGTTGTCCAGGCTGGTTTCAAACACCTGGGCTTGAGTGACCCTCCCACTTAGGCCTCCCAAAGTGCTGGGATTAGGTGTGAGCCATTTACCTGGCCATAATTTGCATTTTATTTTATTTTTTTGAGATGGAGTCTCGCTCTGTCGCCCAGGCTGGAGTGCAGTGGCATGATCTTGACTCACTGCAACCTCTGCCTCCTGGGTTCAAGTGATTCTCCTGCCTCAGCCTCCTGAGTAGCTAGGACTGCAGGTGCATGCCACCAGGCCCGGCTAATTTTTTTGTGTATTTTTAGTAGAAATGGGGTTTCACCATATTAGACAGGATGGTCTCAATCTCCTGATCTCGTGATCCTCCCCTCTCAGCCTCCCAAAGTGTTGGGATTACAGGCGTAAGCCATTGCATTCAGCAATTTAGCATTTTTAAATGAACTATCTCAGTTAAGGCACAGCAGCTCACATCTATAATTGCAGCAATCTGGGAGGCCAAGGCAAGAGGATCGCTTGAGCCAGGAGTTTGAGACCAGCCTGGGCAACATAGTGAGACTCAGTCTTTTTTTAAATTAAAATAAAAAATTAAGCAAAATGAACCATTTGGCCCCCAAAAAAGTTAATTCTATCTTCAAACCCACTAAGTCTAGTAGTACAGACTTCATTATTTATTACCTATTTTTTTAAAGCTGGTTCCAACTACTCCAGCTAACTGCTCTCCAACTAGGTTAAAATCTAACATCATCTGTTTCATGACTTCTTTGCTTCACACCCTACATTCAGAGTTGACACCTCATTAAATTAAACAGACTGAGGTTACCATGAGAGCCGTCTGGGGCTGGAACCACCATCCTCTTGTTAGCCAGGCCCTGGTCATACAGATGCTAGTCTAACAGGCAGTGGTGCAGCTCTCCAACTTTCATTGTGAATCAGGAGGGACTCCAACAGCAGAGGCTGGAGCCCAACAATCACACCAAAAAAGTTCAAGTGCTCTACTCTGGCCCCTATCTGGAAAAGGGTACTCGAGAATACCAACTCAGCTCCATCTCAAAGTCCAATGTAAAAGATGTTTGTGATGATGTCACATCCTCAGTAACTTTTTAATCGACCTCAGACAGAAACCAAGTAAAATGACTAACTAAGGGCAAAGCCCAGACCTAGACTGCAAATGTTCCTTGTTAACTGCTGTCAAATTAAACTGTGACATCCAAAAACTGTCACATACTACATTAAAAGTCATTTTCATAGGCAATAGAAAAGGTTACACTACTCAAATGCCAATGTACCACTGTGCAGACGTATTATCTCAGAAATAAAATTACTTACGCCTTTTTAATATCCTCGGGTGAGGCATGTCTCTGCACGCCTAGAACTTCATAGTAATCCACCATGTTTCAAGAGATTGTTGGAATAGGTCCTGCAAGTAAAAACAGGTGGTCAGTGATGAGGCTGCTGCGGATGGGCAGGTCACAGCAGTGGGATGGGTGTAGAGACGGAGGAGGGACTGGTATCACCTCAGCACCTACTGGCCCTACAGAGGGAACTTCCACTAGCTAACCACTAGTGTGCTGGAAGACCTTGTCTGGGAACTGTTTCCCAGATTCATCTCAGACCCTTCTAACTCAGAAGGTGGAAGCTGCAGTAAACGGAAATCACTCCAACTGCACTCCAGGCAAAACAGTGTGAGTGGAAGTTGAGACAATAGAGATCACACCAACTTCCTGGATGACAGAGTGAGACACTGCCTCAAAAATAAAACAGGTCAGGTGCGATGGCTCATACCTGTTAATCCCAGCACTTTGGGAAGCTGAGGTGGGCACATCACAAGGTCAGAAGTTAAAGACCAGCCCAACCAACATGGTGAAATCCCCTCTCTACTAATGAAAATATGAAAATTAGCCAGTCGTGGTGGCACAGACCTGTAATTCCAGCTACTGAGGAGGCTGAGGCAGGAGAATCGCTTGAACCTGGGAGGCGAAGGCTGCAATGAGCTTAGATAACACCACTGCACTACAGCCTGGACAACAGAGTGAGACTGGGAAAAAAAAAAGGCCCAAACCTAAAACTCTTTTTTTTTCCTTTTTTTTCAAAGAGACAGGGTCTCGCTACATTGCCCAAGCTGGAATGCAGTGGCTACTCACAGGCGCCATCCCACATCAGCACAGGAGTTTTGACCTGCTCCATTTCCAACCTGGGCTGGTTCACCCCTCCTTAGGCAACCTGGTGGTCCCCCCGCTCCTGGGAGGTCACCGTATTGATGCCGAACTTAGTGCAGACACCCAGTCGGCATAGCGCACTACAGCCCAGAACTCCTGGGCTCAAGCGATCCTCCCACCTCAGCCTCCAGAGTAGCTGGGACCACAGGCATGTGCCACCGCACCCGGTCCAAACCTAAAACTCTTGTTTTTATCAGTCTTTCAATCAAAAAACAAAAAACCATAATGAAATCAGGATATACTTAGATGTATAAACTACACTATCAATTCAATGGAACATCAAATTTAGAAAATACTGTACATCTTCAAATACATGAGAGCCAAGATTCTAAGTGTTACAAGTTTAATATGTCAACTACAAGGTACAGAATTTAGGGCCAGGTGAGGTGGCTCATGCCTGTCATCTCGGCACTTAGGGAGGCCGAGGTGGGCAGATCACGAGGTCAGGAGTTCAAGACCGGCCTGATCAACATGGTGAAACCCCGTCTCTACTTAAAATACAAAAATAAGCTGGCCATGGTGACCCGCGCCTATAATCCCAGCTACTCAGGAGGCTGTGGCAGAATTGTTTGAACCCGGGAAGCAGAGGTTGCAATGAGCCAAGATCATGCCATTTGCACTCCAGCCAGCCTGGCTACAAAGCGAGACTCCGTCTCAAAAAAAAAAAAAAACCCAAAAACTCATTTGCAACTTAGAAATAAACTGTATGGTTCTTGTTTTCTTGCAATTATTCCAACGTAATGTTATCAGCGTTACTGGATACATAATTAAGCAAAGATAAAATATTAATTAGAGAATGTGCCTATGGGATACCACTGTACAGTTCTTTCCACTCCATTTGGAAATATTCAGCATAAAACATTGGAGACTCTTTCATGTGGTAAGTTACCTGGTAACGATCACACAATTATGAAAGGTTTCCTTCCTGGTAGTTAGAATGACATAGCAGCATAAAGGATTCAAACCACACCAGTCCTACCAGTCTATAGAGAAAACACAGGAGTCAACTCCTGTAAGTAGGGAACACTGCAATCTTCTATCTTTCAGGAACTAAAAACCTGCTCATCAGACACGGCACACAAAGTGGGGCAGCCAGCAAGCAGCAGGAAAGCGAGCATTTCTTCAAGCCTCCCCCACTCCCTCATTCCCTCGGCTGAGTGACTAAGCAAGGTTATTTTCACTCAAACTCTGGTTTGCTGCCAAGGATCTGCAGTGGCATTTTGGCAGTGATGCCAGCGGCAGTACCTAGCAGAAACAACAGAGGGGGAAGCTGTTAATCCACTCTAACAGAACCAGAGCAGAAATCTCAGTACCAATCTTCCATTGCCAGACATCTGGATCATCCCCTCCGAGCACATACAGCAAGAGGCCATTCAATGTGTCGCACACCAAGCACACAGGCCCTCGCAAGTCCCAACAGCTCATCTCGTATCCACACTTGCATGCCTGGGTTTGTGTACGTGGTGGCGGTTAACAGGAGGAAGATACCCCCGAGGCAGCGAGGACAGAGGTGAGAATGTCGCTGTGGGCCAGGGTCCCATGGCCAGCTGGTGAATGCTGTGATTTACTTCAACAAAAACACTCGCTGAGAGCCTGCTCTGTCATGTAATGTGCAGCATCCACTAACAGCACCTAGTATTCAAGCAGCACTTCATCAAATGGCTAGTTTTCTTACTAAACGCAGGCTATCCTACAAGGAAAGGGTAAGGCAGTACTGACAGTCACCCCCTGGAGCAGATGCCCTCACCTCTGTGCTCCTTCTGCACTGCTTACCCTCACCTGCTCCACTTCCTGCCTGGACTCCTCCCCCAGTCCTGCAGCAGCTTCCCCACTGCCTACCACTTGACACTCACTCTTCTGTAAGTCAGTAAAAAACCCACGGCACCACCCCACAGACGTTTCCCAACTCTCCTGTCCGACTTCTCTCTGCCTCCCATCACCAGCTTTTGCCCCTCTACTAGCCCACTGAAGAAACAGCGGAAACGCTAAAGGCTCAAGGCCAACTCTCATCCTACATGGAGGTTTTCACCCTTTCCCATTACGTAAAAATCACTGATTTAGCAATGAGTCCCAAATGTTAGCTCCAAACTCTGGCCTCTCCTGGGCACTTCGGACATAAATAAACAGATGACTACTTGACACAGCCACCTGGATGTCCAGCAGACACCCCAACCAAAATTTAACTCTTAATCCTCCCCACTCCATACACACCTGGTCTTTTCCTAGTAAATTCTACCTTGAAGTCCAAGGTGCCTGACTCTGAAATGTTCACCTTCGCCAACTACACTCAGCACAGACACAAATTAATCACGAAGTCCCGCCAAGTCTACCTCTCAAACACCTCCAATTCATTCACTGTTACCTATCTTCAACAGCAGCAGTATCCCTTACCCTGACCAGCTGCAGCCTCTAATTTCATCCTGCCCTGTGCTTTCATAAATGTCAGCTTATAAATGAGCAGATACTGACTGGGCATGGTGGCACACACGTGTAATCCCGTCACTTTGTGAGACCCAAGTACTTTGGCGGACTGCTTGAGCCCAGGAGCTAGAGACCAGTTCCCGGGTGTGCCACAGCACTCCAGCCTGGGTGAGAGTGAGACCCTGTCTCCAAAAAATTAACATAAAATTTAAAAATAAATTAAGATTAAAGATGAATAGCTGGACGTGGTAGCTCACACCTGTAATCGCAGCACTTTGGGAGGCCGAGGCAGGCAGATCACCTGAGGTCAGGAGTTTGAGACCAGCCTGACCAACATGAAAATCCCGTCTCGACTAAAAATACAAAACTAGCTGGACATGGTGGCACATGCCGGTAGTCCCAGCTACTTGGGAGGCTGAGGCAGGAGAGTTGCCTGAACCCAGGAGGTGGAGGTTGCAGTGAGCTGAGATCACACCACTGCACCCCAGCCTGGCAACAAAGGCAAAACTCTATCTTAAAAAAAGGAAAAAGAAAGTTCAAAAAGACAAAGTGCATGTGAAAGGACATAGAAACCAAATGGGACCAGGCATGGTGGCTCACACCTGTAATCCCAGCAATTTGGGAGGCCAAGGTGGACACACTGTGTGAGCCCAGCGGTTTGAGACTGGCCTTGGCAACATGCTGAAACGCTGTCTCAAAAAAAAATTTAATTAAAAAAAAAAAGGGCTGGGCGCAGTGGCTCAAGCCTGTAATCCCAGCACTTTGGGAGGCCACGGCAGGTGGATCACGAGGTCAAGAGATAGACACCATCCTGGTCAACATGGTGAAACTTCGTCTCTACTAAAAATACAAAAATTAGCTGGGCATGGTGGTGCGCGCCTGTAGTCCCAGCTACTCAGGAGGCTGAGGCCGGAGAATAGCTTGAACCCAGAAGGCAGAGGTTGCAGTGAGCCGAGATCATGCTGTTGCACTCCAGCCTGGGTAACAACAGCGAAACCCCATCTCAAAAAAAAAAAAAAAAAAACATTTAAAATTTTTGAATTTACATCACTCTAAGAATCAAGGACTTACCACCCTGCCTTTCCTGTATGCACTATTACTGTATCTTTAAGTATATACTTGACAAGTCAATACTCTTTTTAATAGAAGAATTCCAGGTAACAAATGCAGCAGGAACTCTAGAATTAGTTATTTTGCAACAACATGCAGTGATTCTCAAAGCCCGGAGAAGCAGCAGCATCAACATCACTTGTAAAGTTCATCTCAGGCCCGCACCTGAACCAGAACTGTGGGGTGGGGCCCGGCCCTCAGGTGCTATAGAGCAGGCTGAGAATGGCAGCCTAAAGGACCCAGGGACTCCAGCAGGAACTGTGAACAGAAGTGAGCCCGTGAGATGGAGCTGTCAGGGTCACCCAAGCTAGGGGAGACACCGTGCCTCGGGATGCGCTGCAGCTCCCGAAGCATGAGCCCTCCCTTACCTGAGGCTTCGAACTATCCATGGTCTTACCCACAGCCAACCACAGTCCAAAAACAATAAACATTTCCAAAAATAAGTCTTAAATGTTAAACTGCTCACCGTTCAGAGTAGTGTGATAGAATTTCATGCCAACCTGCTCCCTCCAGCCCCAGCCCAGGACATGAATCATTCCTCTGTCCAGTGGACCCATGCTGTGGACGCACCCCGCAACACTCAGTCATCTGGGTTTATGAGACCGACTGTGCTACCCACAGTGCCTGTGTTCCAACAGCCCTCACTTTACTTCATGAGGCCCAAAGCGTCAGAACACTGATCTGAATGAATATGCCAAAGAGAGGCTTCCTTTCAGTGAAAAAGGCAAACATTCTCAACTTAAGGAAAAAACCCTAAGTTGAGACAGCTAAAATCTACAGCAAGAACAAACCTTCACCCATGGAATGAGCAGCACAGTGCTGTCATGGTTCCACCAGTTACTGTGAATCTGGTAGTGCGCCTCATTTATACATCAGACTTCAGCCTAGGTATGGAGGCACAGGAGAAAATACAGCATTATATGGGGTTCCAGGCTATTAGAGGTTTCAGGCTTCCACTGGGGGCCTTGGAACTTAACCCCAGAGGACAGGGGAAGACCAATGTAGTACCTAAAGGATTTAGTAATGTTCATCGCATGGGAACTATGGAAGTGAAATGTATGTTCATCCTAAGTGAGCTGTGGTTCCTGGAAAACTGCCTACCTTCACTGTGCTCCGCTACCTGCCCTGGTGAAATGGGTGACATCCACATCCTATGGTTACAGACGATGTGAAATGGGTGACATCCACGTCCTATGGTTACAGACGATGTGAAATGGGTGACATCCACGTCCTATGGTTACAGACGATGTGAAATGGGTGACATCCACGTCCTATGGTTACAGACGATGTGAAATGGGTGACATCCACGTCCTATGGTTACAGACAATGTGAAATGGGTGACATCCACGTCCTATGGTTACAGACGATGCTGTCCGTGGCAAGAGAGCCCTGGGCTCCATCTAGCACATCCTCAGTGCTCCCTGGCTGAGATGAAAGGGAAAGGAACTGGTATACATGGAGTGGGTGGGCTCACACAATGAGGAGGTGGGGAGGAAAGAGAAAAGTAGGCAGAAGAGAGACACACACACAGAGCTGCCTGAGCACAGCAACTCATCTGCAGAGATGCCACACCCTCACTGGGGAGCCAGCAGGAACAGTCAAAAGACCTCAGCTTCACATCACCCCCACCTCATTTGACATTCACCTAAACACTGAGAGGCTTGACGCTCAGTAATCCACGATAAAATACACTGCATGACTAAGTAAAGCCTTCAGCAATACTGAAAATACTCCTGGCTTAATTTGGAGTGAATATTTTAAATTGACAACAGTTTTAGGTTTTGATACAGTGTCTCACTCTCCGTCGCATAGGCTGGAGTGCAGTGGTGTGATCTCGGCTCACTGAAACCTCTGCCCGCTGGGTTCAAGCAATTCTCCTGCCTCAGCCCTCTAACTAGCTGGGATTACAGACACACCCCACCATACCAGCTAATTTTTGTTCTTTTAGGAGAGACAGGGTTTCACCTGCTGGGAATACAGGAGTAAACCACCATACCCAGCCAAACAAGTTTTTTAACAGATAAAAGTGTGAGTTGGGAGACTGTCAGGGTTAATTCTTCCAATTACTGTTGACTTTTAACATTCTTATCAAAGACTCAGAACAGAAACGATAAGGCAGTATTCAAAGACAGGACAGGCAGGGCGTGGTGGCTCACCCCTGTAATCCCAGCACTTTGGGAGGCAGCCAGGTCACCTGAGGTAAAGAGTTCTGAGACCAGTCTGACCAACAGGGACAAAGGAGGTTAAGCCACGAGAATTGCTTGAACCCAGGAGACAGACACTGCAGTGAGCCAAGATTGCACCACTGCACTCCAGCCTGGGCAACGAGCAAAACTGTTTCAAAAAAAAAAAAATGGATTGAACAAAGGCTGGACAAAAGTTAAGCAGTTAATGTCTGACGTATGCTACTAGAGCATCTCAGAATTTAAAAGCTGCTGTCTCTGGGCATTCCTGCTGGCTCACACCTGTAATCACAGCGTAAGACTCGGGGAGGCTGAAGCAGGACACTTGCTTTGAACCTGGGAGGGTGGAGGCTGCAGTGAGCCAAGATCACACAACTGCACTCCAGCCTGGGAGACAAAGCAAGACTCCATCAGAGGAAAAAAAAAAAACAAAAGTTGTCTCCAAGTACTTCCTTTGAGAAAAGTGCCATATTGAGTGTCTTCCACAAATTATTAAATAAAACGATCTTAGCTGGGCGCGGTGGCTCACGCCTGTAATTCTAGCACTTCGGGAGGCTGAGGAGGGTGATCACCTGAGGTCAGGAGTTCAAGACCAGCCTGGCCATCATGGTGAAACCCCATCTTAAAAAGAAATAAAAAAATAAAAAATAAAAGGATGTTTATAATACCAAATTCAAGCTCTGACTCACAAAACATCCACACTTCAATAACCACTAATTAGTGCAACTGTTCTATGAACAATTGCAGTGACTGGAACGCTATCCCCAAAGTCAAGCCCTGAATTTTGGTTAACTATAGAAATGCTTCCTTATGCTAGGGAGTGAGGGTCTCCTGGGAATTTTCACCCTTTAGTCTTTGCTCAGATTATTCGATGCAGGTCCAATTTCTCCTCCACATACTTGTCTTTGGACATTTGGGGGCTTTATCTTGCCAAGTTTTTCTCTCTCTAGACAAACATACACTTACAATTATTTACAGTTCCTCCTGAGAAACCCTGACCTACCTGGTTCCTCTGAGCAAGCTCCAATGCTGTCATGTCTTAGTTGCCCCAATCCAACAGACACTCCAGGGACAGTCCAACTGTCACCCACAAAACATAACACCGCCCACAGCTCTTTCTGAACTCAATCACCAGTACATCAGGAAGGGAATATGGACCAGGATGCTGCAATGAATAATACAATCCGGCAGGTGCAGTGGTTCATGCCTGTAATCCCAGTGTTCTGGGGACAGAGGAAAGGGGAAAGCTTGAGCTAAGGAGCTCAGGACCAACCTGGACAACAAAGGAAGACTCTGAATGTACAAAAATTACAATAATTAGCTAGGCATTGGCCGGGTGTGGTGGCTCATCCCTGTAAATCTCAGCACTTTGGGAGGCCGAAGCAGGCAGACTACCTGAGGTCAGGAGTTTGATACCAGCCAGGCCAACATGGCAAAACCCCGTCTCTACTAAAAATACAAAAAATTAGCCAGGTGTGGTGGTGCGCCTGTAATCCCAGCTTCTCAGGAGGCTGAGGTATGAGAATTTCTTGAACTTGGGAGGTGGCAGTTGCAGTGAGCTGAGATCACACCAATGCGCTCCACCCTAGGTGACAGAGCAAGACTCTGTCTCAAAAAATAATTAGCCAGGTATGATAGCACATGTGCATAATCCCAGCTACTCATGAGGGTGAGGTGGGAGGATGGCTCGAGCCCAGGAGGTCTAGGCTGCAGTGAGCCATGATTGTACCACTGTACTCCAACCTGGGTGACACGGCAAGACAGACAGACACACACAGACACACACACACACACAGACACACACACACACACAGAATGAAACTCTGCTAGTCCCCCTGGTCTTTGTAAACCTGGCGTCACTGTCCTACGTTCCCATTACCTTTGGGCAGGTAAGACTCTCAAGGGAAGGGAGGGTCACAGTTTGCCCAACTGTTTCATTTTAGTGAGGCTGGCCCCATTAGAAAATTTTTTTAAATGTTCAAAAAGACAAATATGTACAGAGTGCTGGGGAGATGGTATGGAAACCATGAGGAAAGGGAAGATTAAGAGAACACTGACATTTTACTGATGAAATGAAAGAGTAAGCACCCCAGGCAGAGAACAGAGGTGAAAGTATTCCACACACAAGTAACGGCGTATGCTCATGCAAAACCACGAAGGCACACAGCGCACGTGTGACACAACTTAGTTTGGTAGAATGTTAGCGTAAGGCGCTGGTGGGGGCGGGGGTCAGGACAAGAAAGAACAAGCTGCACTGAAGAATTTTAGACCGAAGGAATTAGGACTTTTCCACTGTTCAGTAGAAGAGTTAAGCAGTGGTGTGAAGTCAACAGAGTATTTGGAAAGACACCTTCTAACTACAAGGGAGGTGGACTTAAGGAAGAGAGTGACGGCTGAACAGCAGGGAGACCATTACTAAGATGCTTCAAATGAGATGTGCCTGAATCAGAAACAAGCAGCAGACAAGGAGAGCTATTCAAAGCAGCTGTTCAGGGCCTTCCTCTAAGACAAGGAGACTCTACCAAGAGGGTTCCATGCTCATCCACAAATGCTACAACTAATGCCAGCAATCTTCCATTTCTAACATAAAAAAGAAAGCCAGGCACAGTGGCTCACGCCTGCAATCCCAGCACTTCGGGAGACTGAGGTGGGTGCATCACCTGAGATCAGGAGTTCAAGACCACCTCTACTAAAAATACAAAAATTAGCCAGGCGCGGTGGCTCAAGCCTGTAATCCCAGCACTTTGGGAGGCCAAGGCGGGTGGATCAAGAGATCGAGACCATCCTGGTCAACATGGTGAAACCCCGTCTCTACTAAAAATACAAAAAATTAGCTGGGCATGGTGGCGCGTGCCTGTAATCCCAGCTACTCAGGCGGCTGAGGCAGGAGAATTGCCTGAACCCAGGAGGCGAAGGTTGCGGTGGGCCAAGATCCCGCCATGGCACTCCAGCCTGGGTTAACAAGAGCAAAACTCCGTCTAAAAAAAAAAACATTAGCTGGGCACAGTGGTACACGCCCGTAATCTTAGCTACTTGGGAGGCTAAGGCAGGAGAATCACCGGAAGCCAAGAGGCAGAGGTTGCAGTGAGCCAAGATTTCGCCACTGCACTCCAGTGTGGGCGACAGAGTTAGATTCCATCCCAAAAAAATAAATACACTTCTTAGAACCCAAACGGCATGACTAACTAATCATCAAGTCACATGGTGCTCAATTAGTTTACTAATAACTGAGGCTTCGTTACTAGCCAATCAAGGGAGAAAAGCTGGGGCAACAATGTCTTACTGACTCGTGTCACGGCATGCATAATGGCAGGTGCATATCCTATCAGGCATTCTGTGAGTTACTGCTTGTAGGTGAGGAAACCGGGGCTCAGAAGAATTAAGTCAACGTCAGTATTCCAGCAAGTCCAAAACCCACGTGGGGGCCGAGCACAAAACGTGCCCCCGAAGTCCCAGCAACTGGGGAGGCTGAGGCGGGAGGAAGGTTTCAGCCCAGGAGTCTTAAGTTCAAACTGGGCACCTAACGAAGACACACGTTTATAAATAACAAAACTCCAGGTACTGGAGAAACATGAGCACTCAGGAGGACTGAAGGCATACTCAAGCCGCCTTCCCTGCCCTCCAGAAGCTCCGCCAGGAAAAACCGGCGCATCATCTGCATTTAAAATAATACACTACATCAAAGGAAATAATTTCTACAGATCACTCACAACAGAGCTCTAGAAGCACAGGTGTCCACCAGCACCCCACTTAGCAAAAATCCTTTATAAAACTGTGCTGCTCAGCCAGGTGTTGTGGCTCACGCCTGTAATCCCAGCACTTAGAGAAGCCGAGGCAGGCAGATCATCTGAGGTCAGGAGTTCGAGACTAGCCTGACCAACATGCAGAAGCCCCTTCTCTACTAAAAATACAAAATCAGCCAGGCGTGGTGGCACAGGCCTATAGTGGGAGTCTGAGGCAGGAGAATCGCTTGAACCCGGGAGGCAGACATTGCAGTTAGCTGAGATCGCGCCACTGCACTCCAGCCTGGGCAAAAAGAGAAAAACCTGTCACCAAAAAAAAAGCAAAAGAACTAATTGTGCAAAGCAAGACATGAATATTGTTTACAGAAACAGAATTGCAAATGATCAAAACAGAAAAACCTCTTCAGTAGAACCACAAAAAGAATTAGTCTAATCGCCATTAATCAAAAATAACCTTCTCCAATAAATTTAATAAACTCTAACTTCAGGACTTTTAGAAAACATGCCACATAAAGATCATCAGTTTCTGGACAGGCGTGGGTAGCTCATGTGTGCAATCCCAGCACTCTGGGAGGCCAAGCAGGGGTGGATCACCTGAGGTCAGGAGTTTGAGAACGGTCTGGCCAACATGTTAAAAGCCCAACTCTACTAAAATTACAAATCAAGTCAGGAGTGATGGCGCAGGGTCCCAGCTGAGGCAGGAGAATTGCTTGAACCTGGGAGGCAGAGTTTGAAGTGAGTCAAGATCACACAACTGCACTCAAGCCTGGGCAATAGAGCATGACTCCATCTCAAACAAAAAAAAAATCAGTGGTTTTCTAAGCTCAGCTGAGGAGAGGCGAGGTGGCTCACGCCTGTAATCCCAGCACTTTGGGAGGCCAAGAGAGCCGGATCACCCGAAGTCAGGAGTTCAAGACCAGCCTAGCCAACACAGCGAAACTCAAGCTCTACTAAAAATACAAGAATCAGCCAGGCATAGTGGCAGGCACCTGTGGTCCCAGGTACTCTGGAGGCTGAGGCAGGAGAATCACTTGAACCTGGAAGGCGGAGGTTGTACTGAGCCAAGATTATGACTGCACTCTTGCCTGAGAAACAGAGGGAGATTCTGTCTCAAAAAAAAAAAAAATCGGCTGGGCGTGGTGGTGGATGTCTGTAATTCCAGCTACTCAGAAGGCTGAAGCCGAAGAATTGCTTGAGCCTGGGAGACAGAGGTTGCAGTGAGCCAAAATCAATCATACCACTGCACTCCAGCCTAGGGGACAGACTCAGTCTAAAACACCAAAAAAAAAAAAAAAATAGGTAGGAAAAATAAAAATTAAAACCCACAGCAGTGAATTCTCACTCCTTATCAAACATCACTTACTTATTTCATTCTTTAATATGTCCTAAAATGTTTATGAAACAAATATGAGAAGTTATTTCCTCATTACTCAAAATCAAAAACCATTTCTTCAACTGGCAGTTATAACCTACTAGATACTTCCGGGCTTAACTAACTCTCTTTCATTAAAAACATCATAGGAGGCCGGGCGCGGTGGCTCACGCCTGTAATCCCAGCACTTTGGGAGGCCAACGCAGGTGGATCATGAGGTCAAGAGATCAAGACCATCCTGGCCAACATGGTGAAACCCCATCTCTACTAAAAATACAAAAAAATTAGCTGCGCATGGTGGCGTGCACCTGTAGTCCCAGCTACTCAGGAGGCTGAGGCAGGAGAATTGCTTGAACCCAGGAGGCGGAGGTTGCGGTGAGCCGAGATCGCACCATTGCACTCCAGCCTGGGTAACAAGAAAAAAAAAAAAAAAAACATAGTAATTGGCCAGGCTCAGTGGCTCACATCTGTAATCCCAACACTTTGGGAAGTCGAGGCAGGTGGATCATTTGAGGTCAGGAGTTCAAGACCAGCCTGGTCAACATGGTGAAACCCCGTCTCTAGTAAAAATGCACAATTACTTTCCTCAGCTGACACCAAAGTGCTCAGTTCTTCAGAGGAAGTTAAGGCCGCATTGGGGTGAGACCCTCCTTCATCCGGCGACTAGCACCACGTCCGGCAGCGCTAGCCCCACACTCACCCGCACCATGGCCTCCGTCTCCGAGCTCACCTGCATCTACTCGGCCCTCATTCCGCATGACGATGAGGTGACCGTCACAGAGGATAAGATCAATGCCCTCATTAAAGCAGCCCGTGTAAATGTTGAACCTTTTTGGCCTGGCTTGTTTGCAAAGGCCCTGGCCAATGTCAACACTGGGAGCCTCATCTGCAACGAAGGGGCTGGTGGGTCTGCTCCAGCAGCTGGTGCTGCACCAGCAGGAGGTCCTGCCCTCTCCACTGCTGCTGCTCCGGCTGAGGAGAAGAAAGTAGAAGCAAAGAAAGAAGAATCCGAGGAGTCTGATGATGATATGGGCTTTGGTCTTTTTGACTAAACCTCTTTTATAATGTGTTCAATAAAAACCTAAACTTAAAAAAAAAAAAAAAAAAATGCAGAATTAGCCGGACATGGTAGCATGCCTGTAATCCCAGCTATTCGGAAGACTGAGGCAGGAGAACTGCTTGAACCCGGGAGGCGGAGGTTGGAGTGAGCCAAGGTCGCACCATTGCACTCCAGCCTGGGCAATGAGAGCAAAACCCCAAAACAAAAAAAATAAAATAAATAGCTAGGTGGTAGTGGAGCACACCTGTAATCCCAGCTACCCAGAAAGATGAAGCAGGAGAATCGCTTGAGCCTAAGAGGCAGAAGATGGGGTGAACTGAGATTGCCCAGTCTGGGTGAGAGTAAAACCCTAACTCAAAAAAATATATTTTAAAAATAATAGGGCCAGGCGCGGTGGCTCACGCCTGTAATCCCAGCACTTTGGGAGGCCGAGGCGGGTGGATCACGAGGTCAAGAGATCGAGACCATCCTGGTCAACATGGTGAAACCCCGTCTCTACTAAAAATACAAAAAAAATTACCTGGGCATGGTGGCACGTGCCTGTAATCCCAGCTACTCAGGAGGCTGAGGCAGGAGAATTGCCTGAACCCAGGAGGCAGAGGTTGCGGTGAGCCGAGATCGTGCCATTGCACTCCAGCCTGGGTAACAAGAGCGAAACTCCGTCTCAAAAAAAAAAAAAAACTGGAACGATGCAGAAGATTAGCACGGCCCCTGCGTAAGGATGACATGGAAATTAATGAAGCAGTTCCATATTTAAATAAAAAAATTTTTTTAGAAAAAAAAAAACAACTTACTTCTCAACTAGGACGTCTCCAAGAACATGAAAAAGATCAACCATGATTTATGTCCATACAAAAACATAGGATTCTGACAAAACACCTCATTAATATCAATACAAGGAACGCATCAATTTTTCCTAGTTGACTTATCCAGAAATCATTTTTTCTAGGTAGGCGTCATTTTTCTATTCCTACATCATCGTTTCTAACATATTCTTGTTTTCACCAACTTTGCTTTTCGTCTCATTAACCTCTTTTTAAGTCTGAGATTCTCAAGTTCTATTCATCAAGTACAGCATTTGCCAAATCCTGCCACTCTTCTTACTCGCTAAAAAGCCTGCAGTTACCCGCCTCTCACCACAAGGTGGTGTCCTGGACAAATTTAAACAAACCGATTTTGAACAGAATCATTTCTCAGAAATAAAAGTTTTAAAAATGTTTTTTTAAAATCCTGTTAATCCAGTGTCTAACCTGGATGCAAATAAATATTAAAAAGTAAAAATCCTGTCAAAACATCAACTCACAAAGACTGACTATATTCTCTTATTCCTCAACAGATACGCGTAAGCAATAGCCAATACAGAAGCTGACCTTTACTGCTGACCACAGTAAGGCGTTGTCTGTGCGGTCAGGCGGGTTACACTCAGTCCACAGCGACATGTTCAGGATGACTAAAAATACCTGCCCAAGTTTTAAAGTGCCCTCTTGTTAAAAAATCTTTTAAAATGACAACAAAAAAAGTAAATAAATACATGACAGCTGGAAGCGGGGGCTCACGCCTGTAATCCGAGCACTTTGGGAGGCCAAGACAGTGCATCACCTGAGGTCAGGAGTTTGAGAGCAGCCTGGCCAACATGGGAAAACCCCATCTCTACTACAAATACAAAAATTAGCCGGGTGTGATGGCGGGTGCCTGTAAATCCCAGCTACTCCGGAGGCTGAGGTGGGAGAATCCCTTGAGCCTGGGAGGGGGAGGGTGCAGTGAGCCAAGATGGCGCCACTGTACTCCAGCCTGGGCAACAAGAACGAAACTCCATCTCAAAAATAAAAAAGGTGCAAACAGACCATCCCACCCCATACCCCAAACCTGGATTTGCGTTATCTTCCTTGAAAACTGATGGGGGTGACGGGTACCACTGTCATTTGAAACTGTCCAGAGTTAATACAAGGGACTAAGTGCTTGCTTAAAAACACAAGCTAACGTATGCCACTCAGTTACAGGTATCACACTGTAATACCATAGCCGTATCTTAGTCTGTACAATATTCAACAACACTCCCCAGTGTTCCAAAAAAAACTGCCCTACAGCCAGAATTACTTCCCAAACCTAACACTTTCATATCCAGAATAAATTTTTAAATACTGACGTTTTGAAGAGGGTTCTGAACTCATCCCAATTTTTTTGGTTTGTTTTCGTTTTCTGAGACGGAGTTTTGCTCTCGTTGCCCAGGCTGGAACGCAACGGCACGATCTCAGCTGACTGCAACCTCCGCCTCCCAAGTTCAAGCGATTCTCCCGCCTCAGCCGCCCGTGTAGTTGGGATTACAGGTATACGCCACCACACCCCGCTAATTATTTGTATTTTAGGTATTGATGGAGTTTCCCCATGTTGGTCAGGCTGATAAAACTCCGGGCCTCAGGTTATCTGTCCGCCTCGGCCTCCCAAAGTACTGGGATTACAGGCGTGAACCTACATGTCCGACCTTCAAATATTTTAGAAGTTTTGCCCTCTGAAATTCCCAACTTTCTTACCTTCCACAGCAGACTAAACCTAGTTGGGCATTTTTCAAAAGCTTCTCAACCTTTTATTCTCCCACTTCCTGTCAAGTCTCCACATGTACCAATTGAAGGCAACTTAATTCCCAAATTTCACATTCGACATAATCCATAAAAACGCACAGCTCATTACGCTGTGTATAAAAAGCATTCATCCTTTTATCACAAAAGGCAGAAAGAAATGTGAAAGCACCAACTCCAAGGAAGCTTAAGGCTCTCAAGAGTGTAAACAATGAAGGCTAGAGTCTGCGGGACGCGGTGACTCACGCCTGTAATCCCAGCACTTTGGGAGGCTGAGGCAGGCAGATCACTTGAGACCAGGAGTTCGAGACCAGCCTGACCAACATAGAGAACCTCCGTCTCCACTAAAAATACAAAAATAGCTTGGGCGTGGTAGTGCATGCCTGTGATCCCAGCTACTCCGGAGGCTGAGGCGGGAGAATTGCTTCAATCCGGGAGGCGGAGGTTGCGGTGAGTCGAGATCGTGCCACAGCACTCCAGCCTGAACAAAAAGAGCAAAACTCCGTCTCAAAAATAAAATAAAAACGATGAGAACTACAAAGAGCGCCGCTCAGCCTACTCTTCCCAAACAGGCTGAAGCCTCCGGGCTCACAGGCAGCAACCCTTCGTTGCTGGCACGGTCCTTCTACTCAGGCTGTTTCCTGCCTCGTTTATGAGGAAATTAGTAATGAAGTTTACATCTGACTAGCAAATCCATCCTTTAAAAAATGCGCCGGCACCAAAACCTTTTTCGAGCCAACACATGGTCTGCAGTTTACACTCGGCGTGTCACTGACCTCCTAGTTGGGTAAGTTTTAGTATAAACTTGGATGAACTTGAGCCGCATGAGCCACGGTACAGCTTCTTTAAGGCAGAGTAGAGCGGCGTTCAGAGTAAGAAACAGCCCGCTCATCCACAAACTTCTGACCACCCTTCGCGATTCCCAGGAACAGCGCTCTGCAGTCCACCACCTGCTCCCTTCTCCCTCCGAACTTGGCGGCGTGGACACGCATTCCTGCTCCGCCGGCCACTCGCGTTTCTGGTTTCAGACTCCAAGTGCGGGAGGCTTAGGAAAAGCAAGCGCTCCACGCCTCCCACGGTGCCCGCCCCCGGCCCCCCGGGCCCCAGCCGGCCGCTCCCAGGCCCAAGCCCCACCCCCACCCCCGACCGCCGCCGCGGAGGCCGGGCCGCGCTCCAGCAAGGACGCCGGGCGGGGAGGACGCGGCCGGGCGGCACCAGACCCCAGCCCCAACCCCAACCCCAGCCCCAGAGGACCCCACCCACCCTTCGCCCCGCGACCCGGGCCACGGCCCCCCCGCCCCGCCCAGCCCTAGTCCGGCCGGCGACCCCGGTCACCCCCCGCACGCTGTTGCGAGGCGCCGGGTCAGGTCCGCCGTCTGCCGGCTGCGCGCGGGGCCCTCGGCCGACCTTCCCTGACCCTCGGAGTAGACGCTCACCGAGGACGAAGGCGACCGGTGGCGGGACGCAGGGGAGGTGGGGGTGACGGCCCGAATCTCCTCAGGGCTCCAGCACTACTGCGCTGGTGGCGGCGGCTCCTCGCGCTTTCCTTTCTCTCCTTTCTCCAACAACAAACAGGAAATGCGTCACGCGGCGGCGGCACAGCATCGTCAACTTCCGCCCGGTCCTGACGCCGCGCATGCGCAGTTTCCACTGCCCATACCGCGGGCTCGGTGTCGGGGCGCCCGCCCCACCTTCGCGAAGGTTCTAGGCCCTTCCGCCGCCACTTGGAGGCCAGGAAGCTGGGGGTGAGGGGGCGGAGCTCGAGACCGCGTCTACGGTACCCGAGAACCCAGACGTGCCGAAAGCGCCGTAGCCAATGGGCGGCCTACTCCAGGGAGGCCGAGAAGACTCCACGAGGGATTGATCGTTGTGGGCGAGAAGGAACCGGTTCTGGAAACCGCGAACTCCTCGCGCCCTTCACCTTCCTCTTGGCCCCGCCTCTCGCCCGCGGCCCCCCTGTGGAGCTGCGTGGCCTCTCCCCACAGCGGGACGAAAGCTGGGGCGCGGGCTGAGAACAGCCGAGAGCGCGCCTTCCAGCCTGGGCGACAGGGCGAGACTGTGTCTCAAAAAAAAAAAAAAGCTTCCAAAAAGGCTGGGTCAACATCACTGGTTTAAAAATGGCAGCAAGAGGGCCGGGCGCGGTGGCTCAGGCCTGAAACCACAGCACTTTGAAAGGCCGAGGCTGGCAGATCACCTAAGGTCGAGAGTTCAAGACTAGCCTGGCCAACATAATGAAACCCCCGTCTCTAAAATACAGAGATGACCCGGGCCTGGTGGCGCACACCTGTAATCCTAGCTACTCGAGAGGCTGAAGCAGGAGAACCGCTTGAACCCGTGAGGTTGAGGTTGCTTTGAGCCGATATCACGCTATTACACTCTTGCCTGGGAGACAAGAGCAAAACTGTCAGGCCGGGCGCAGTGGCTCACGCCTGTAACCCCAGCACTTTGGGAGGCCGAGGCGGGCGGATCACTTGAGGCCAGAAGTTCGAGACCAGCCTGGCCAACATGCTGAAACCCCGTCTTTTTAAAAAGAAAAGAAAAGAAACCCGGGCGCGGTGGCTCACACCTGTAATCCCAGCACTTTGGGAGGCCGAGGCGGGTGGATCACGAGGTCAAGAGATCGAGACCATCCTGGTCAACATGGTGAAACCCCGTCTCTACTAAAAATACAAAAAATTAGCTGGGCATGGTGGCGCGTGCCTGTAATCCCAGCTACTCAGGAGGCTGAGGCAGGAGAATTGCCTGAACCCAGGAGGCGGAGGTTGCGGTGAGCCGAGATCGCGCCATTGCACTCCAGGCTGGGTAAGAAGAGCAAAACTCCGTCTCAGAAAAAAAAAAGGAGCAAAACTGTCTGAAAACTAAAAACAAATAAGGCAGTGAGAGCGCCGGGCGCGATGGCGCATGCGTATAATCCCCGCACTTGGAAGGCAGATGCTTGAGGAGGAAAAAAACCAAGCAGAGGCCCGGGAAGACAAGTCCCCGCTCCCCAATTTAAGGAAGCCCAGTCACCCTGAGTTCCCCGGCGAACCGGAGAGCGTGAAGACTTCGCCAAGTAATGATGACAGAAGGAAACTGTGGCCGAAAATACAGATGAGGTTTTTTAGATTAAATCGTGACAGTAGTTTCCTGAAAACGCAGAGCATTTTGATCGCTGGACTTTAGGTCAGCCCCAGGCCCTCT